TCTTAGATTTTAAAAGTTCTCCTTCCACACTTTCAAATAACAATTCTTGTCCCCGGCTCTTCAGACTATAAAAGACAGAAAACATCTGGCAACATCTGGTCAGTTGCTTCCTTCTTTGCTAGAATCCTCTCAGTTCACACTGAAGATCTAAATCTCTGGTGTCAGTTAATGATCGGCGTTAGCTTCCCCATTTCTAATCATTCTGACCGTTTTCCTTCCGTTGTAAACAGTTTGGGTCACTGAAGTAAAACTTGGACACAGTTTAATGTTATTTCACGTGGATAATGTTCTCAAACAGGCACTGAAAAGGTTCTGGAGCGGATAGACCAGGTTAACATCAAGTTTCTGAATCAGTCGACCCGTCAGCCCTTTCTAAAATTTTAAAGAGCTTGCTAATAATCCCGGCCCGTGGCAGGAAACAAATCAATCTGAATGACCTCCATCATGTCTGATAAGAAGAGTTGTTGGATATCCAGCCAGGATTAGATCAGGACATTGTTGATGGCTAATGAAGTGTGGTCTTTCCGTGCAACTGACATTTATCTGCATAAATTTGACCTTGAATGGATTAGAAAAAAAAATAAAAAAAAATCCAAAAATAAATTAAAATCTTTGCATCTAGTCAGGGTTTTAAATTTCATTCAAGTTGTGTGGAGTTTCATTATTTCATCCTGGAAATAGAACGGCTTGAATAAATCACTGAAAACCCCAAACATATATAGCAATCCTCCTGATGATGACAGCATATCAACTCCTGAGTGACGAGTAAAGAGCAAATGAGAGAACTGGACGGATCTCTTTGCCCTGCAGCATGCAGAGCCCAAACACAGATGGCCTTCTCAGCGGTCCCAGTCCAGACCAGAGGTAGGTCACCTTCCTGCCTGTCCCCGGCTCCTCTCCTCTCCAGGGGCTCCAATTCATCGTTACGTGTCGCCGAGCTGAGGCACCATCACTCCCACTCGGGGGAGGTGGGCAGCGGGTGGATTAGTTGACCTTCTCCTGGTGTGAGAGCAAAGGCCCCAGCAGTCTGGTCAGCAAACATGGCAGGTCTGGAGGGAGCAGCTGAAACCGCTGGGCGAAGTGGTCAAGGATGCTCCCCAGGATCAGGACAGAAGGGGAGATAGCAGCGTCTCCGGCAGCCTGACACTCGGTCAGCGTGGCAGCATGAGTCTGCAGACCGTCTGAGGACGACGCACGAGCTGCCTGCTCCATCAACCAGCTGACCGGCCACTCCGTTGGTTTTATAGACTCGGTGAGAACAAACGCATTCAAATGTCACACAGTCACCAAAATTTAACACTCTACGACTTCCTTGAGGTCCGTCTACAAAGTTTGGAAAGACAGAAGGAAGAAAACAAGGCTGGATAGAGGAAAAATAAGAAAGCAAGCAAGAAAGGACAGAAAGATATGAGGAATGAAAGTGAAAGTACGAGGGAGGGGAAATTACATGGGAAAGACAAAGGCAAGCAAAAAAACGAAGAGCACATAAAAGACGACAAGGAATGGAAAAAAAAAAGGAGAAGGAACCAAGAAAGCAAGAACATAAGGGAGGCAAGAAGGAAAGATAATTAAATAAAGGACACATGGAAGACTAGAAGGAAAGAGAAGGGAACACAAAGAAGGACGCAATAAAATGAAGAGGGAAATCAGAACGGAGTTGATGAAAGACAAGGAAGGAGAGAAGGTGGTACACAACAGAGGAAAGGACAGGAAGACAAGAGGAAAGGATATTAGGCATGAGGAAAAAAAAGAATAAAAAGAAACACAAAGGATACAATTCTTAGACAATAAATTGAAGTGTATGCATGGGATCTCTCCAGATGCTCTTCCTTCCTCCTGCAGTCCACTAAGACTGCTCCGTCAACCTGACCCTCTGAAAGCTCTCTTAGATACCAGTGTCTCTGTCTACCAGTTCAGGGTGAACCTCACTGTTTGACCAATGGGGATAAACACCAGCAGCCCTGAAAGGATAAAAAAAGGCATGAACATTGAGGACATCTAAAACCAAAAAGCTGAATGCACAAAATATTGTTTTATTTTACCTATTTTATCTGCTACAGATGGCAACTTTGCTTAAGTATCGCCTGCCATGTCTGGGGGCTTTCAGCAGGCTGTCAAAGCTCAAATCAGCGCCACAGAGGCTCAACGTGGTGGAACAAGTTGTCATTTTTGCTCTACATGTGCCGAGAACAGGTTGAGTATAATAAATGTGCTTTGAGCAGCTGCACATTGCTGCCGCCTGCCAGATCCTTCCACGTTATGAATGGAGCAGTCAACGAGCTGCAACATGAATGACCTTTGCTCGTAATTGTGCGAGGTCTCCTGAGGTCCTGTTAACCAAGAAAGATGTTTTTTTTTTTGTTTTTTTTATCCTCTCTCATGCAGTTTGGCGTTTTTCTCCTCTTTCTCTCTCCGAGGAGCAGAGCTGACCTATCACACGCTGGTGCCAAGTCATCATTAGGCGTCAGTTGTTTTCAATTACCCCACACCTCTCCTCCCTGCCACCACGTCTCCTCTGAGAGCCAGACGCAGCACAGCAGGAGAAAAGCAACAAAATGCTAATTTTCTTGCTGACATCTGAGCTCAACTTGAATAAACAAAACAAACAACAACAAAAAAAAAACCCCGCAAGCTGACGAACGCCACAGCAGTGGAAGGATTCGCGGGGAGGGGAAGGAAAAAAACAAAAAACAAAAAAACAAACAGCACTTTTAATGTCACGTGGTTCATTTAGGACTTTATTTCTGCGGTATGGTTGTTTTAAAAGCACTTGATAGCAATACAAACTGAATGTTTTTTTTGTTTTTTTTCCAGTGGTACAAGTCGTACTGCATATGTCGAACATTCATGCCAAAGATAACACTACCGATACATGACCAACAGGACAGCTCGAAAATAAATTTTAAAATGTTTTTATAACAACCATAATATGACAAATACTACAATAAAGCATATTAGTGCTCCTAGCTTAAAGTTTCATCATAGCCAAGGAAAAAAGGAAAAATAAAATAAAATAAAATAATTGCTTTGAGTCCTAACAAGCCAAAATGCTTGTTTGCGGTTGCAAATTTTCCACATTTCAGAGGAAGCCAGTGATCAGAGTTCTGACTCCAGATTAAAACGTTGTGGAAAAGTCGCTTCACACCTTTAACACAAATGCATTTTATTTTCCCATGACGCAAATGAGCTTACACAGACTTACTTCAGGAAAAAAAAACGAAAAAAAACAAGAAAAAAACACTTATACTGTTAAACTGCTACAAAACTATTGTCAACAAAAGTACATCACATATTTCAACATGAATATCAAAGCAGAATGTCTGAGACTTTGAGGCTACATAGTCAGAAGGCAGTGACACCTACAAAATCCTAATGTTAGGGCAAACATACAAAATAAATTATTCTACACTTTCTTATAGATTGTTCTCTCTATGCTTAATAAATGTCGACTCTGAAGGGAAAACGTTTAAATAAATCTTTTAAAAAAAAATGTATTTTAGATCAAGAAAACCTAATTCCCCAAACATGCAGGTGCATCTCAGTAAATTAGAATATCTATGAAAAATTGATCTATTTCAGCAATTCAAAAATAAAACTAAGTTTCTATATCCGTTGCACTCAGTGTGATATTTTTGATGTCTTATAATTTTGGTGACTATGGCTTTCAGCTAATGAAAATCAAAAGATTTTTAAGTGATTTGAATGCAACTAATTAAACAACAACATTGTGGCCAGCACAGTCGGGTTGAAGACAGCAGTGAGATCCTTCAAAAGTGAAAATAAAGAAACCTGCTGTTTAGTGCTGCATGCAAGCACCATTAATGGGAAGTAAAAAACTCTTGCAGAAAAATGTTAAATATGTAACAGAGTGTTATGTCTGTCCGTTTTCATTAATATGGCTTATAAGCGATGAAAACTCAACAACCAGATTTTGTGGAAATTTAAACATTCAAATTTTGCAACACACTGAATTTTGGGTTTCAAATTGGTTGTAGTTCTAATTACTATAATTAACACTTAAAAAATGTATCACTCTGTGTAATAAATTACATCATTCAAGTTTGACTTTTTGTTTAAAGGAATTAGTGTTATGAATTCACTTGGCAAAGATCTTCTATTTTACTGAGACGCACTCGTATTGTGATAAAGACGTCTGGCAGCAGATGGCACAGACTCGTCGAATGCTACAACAGCAGTGCTTGCTAGAATTTCAACAGTTTAACACGGAGTTACGTCAGGGTGCTTGTTCTCCAGATAAGTTTGCGTCACATTTGTGTGCAAAACGGTTACAACACAGGCTGCTCACAGGACAGAAAGCTGAATAGGTCGGTGTGTTTAAGTCCACAAAGCAAAACTCGAAAGTGCGTTGCAACACTGTCGTCGTTACAGCTCGGTAAACAAAGGTCAGGGTGTAGTGTGCTACCTGCAGGCGGTCAGATTAAAATGTCCACGTTCTGTTCTGTCACTGAGCTGAAGTGGACCTACAGGTTCTTTTCAGATTTTCTAGTGCAAAACTGCCAACCATTTGGTCTCCTGCTGGGAGGACAGTCGGGGTATAAAGCATCAACTCCAGCTGAAAGACCGACAGAACAACATGCCTCGAACTTTTCATACTGACATGAGAAAATTAAGTCCAAATCTGGAGCTTCTGATAATACATTTGCATAAAGATTTTAAAAATACAGTCAAACTTGACAGCAGCTGTCACAGACTGTGACGCATGCATGAGAACTTTACGCCAAAAAGCAATAAGACAAACCTCCTCTTGTCAACGGCTGTGAATTTAGCCTAAGTTGGTCTTTGGAAAAATGCAGAGGAGGATTCAGCTGAACCTGAACTTCAGTCATTTGAACATAATTAAAAACCAAGGGAAAAAAAAACAAAAAACAAAACACAGAAAACTACATGGAGGAGAAGACAGTGGAAGAAGAATATGATTCCTGCAGGATGAGCGTCTGTCCGGCTGCACTAGAGACAAACAAAGACAATAACAGCCAGACTGATCAGTTCATACGTTTTTATCTTTGTAACAGAACTTCCATCTGAACACACAGTCAAATCAACAAACAGCATTTGCAGAGAAGAGTTAAGACGTGGCTGGCTGACTCGGCAGCAGCTGGAGTGGCTGTGCCGTTTGTGGGAGTTGTCATCGTTAAATAGGAGGAAGAGGAGACCTAGTAGAGGAGGATCCGGCGCTCGATGGCTTTGCGGCAGATTGGGCACTCGCTCATTCGGTCTCCGCACAGTTGGCAGGTGCCGTGGCCGCACATGAAGATCATGTTCTTCAGTCGGTCCAGACACACCGGACACATCGTCTGGAGGAAGGAGATACCCGCGTTTATTGTTATGCTGGGATCATTTTACGGCCTAATTCAAGTAAGGACATAAAATGACTCACAAAAGTGTTCATAACCCTTACTAGGGTTGTCATGGTGATGCATCTCAAACTCATACAAATATTTGGAAAATACTCAAAGAAAAGTCCACAGAAAACTTTTTTTTTAAAGCATTTGGTTCTTTCTAATAAAAATCCATAATATAGCAGTGGGACAATAATCCTAATGTAGTAAGTCATAAAAAAAACTATTAAGTAGTAAGCTGCTCAGCATTAGCCAAAGAACAGACAACTAAACACATAATATAAGTTTTTATGTATTTTAATATCCTCAAAAGGAATCGAAAAAACATTTTTAAGGTATAAATATGGATTTGGTCCACATGTACTTTGGTTCAAATAGACAAGGATGTGGTTTGCACAAAAACACTTTTTACAGGGAAAAGATCAAAGGGCATGAATATTTTTAGAAGGCTCTGTGAGCCTAGGGGAAATTTTACAGCATGTGGGCTGCAGTTTCGTTTTTTTATTGTAAAGTTAATTATCCACATCATGTTTTTGTTCTCACCTGTTCCTTGATGTCTTGAAGCTGTTGCTGTAGCTTCTGCACATCAGCGTTTACGTTTGTGTTATCTTTATCCCTCTGCAGGGCTGGGATGTTTCCACTCGCTGTTCGAATAGAAAACGAACATGAAAACGCGTTGAGACGTGGGGGTGGGGGGAGTGTCAAAGGACTAAGCACATTAGTTAAGGCTAGGGGCCACCTTGGATTTTACCCTACACCTATAAACTTTACTGCCAATAAAATAAATAAATAAGAAAAAAGAAATATAGCTGCAGCAGCGTTGCCATTCTGACATGATCTTGGCAGCGAGTTACATATGAAAGCCAGAGTTCCATAAACAAGCAGGAGAAACATGCATTTTGAGTTTTTATTGTTTGGCAGATCACTTCTGGCTCAGTGTTTCACTTTCTAACCATTCCACATCAGTAACCCATATAAGGAAACGACCGAAATGTTCACCTGGTACAACACAAATCATCAGGAGGCAAATTTGGAATCGCACTTTCCTCGATGCGATTGTGAAAAATGCATATTATTTGAACAATTTCACCTACCCTTTTGGGAACTTTAATCCCAGAATCTGCCAGAAACAATGAACTCCAGAGTGATATACATCATATGGGCATGATCACCTGTTAAATGTGTGCGCTAGTATGCGGCACTGAAAAAAGGGAATGGGAGTCAAGAGAAGGGGAGATGGGCCAGGGCAGCACTGTTGAGTGAGGTGGTGGATGGGGAGGGGACTCTTTAAAAGCAAGGCTCTGCTAAAGTGGGGGATA